CATTTTACAACATATTATCTACACCGTCCATTTTCAAGAGTTTCATATGTTTATAGATCTACTTGATTTTAACCATTTTTGAAATTTAAAATTTTATAATTAGATATAAATATAGATTTTGAGATAATCCTAAGAACATTTTACATCAAAATTATATATCATGATAAAATTTGAAGGTGCACCTTACTTCTACTCCTACGGATGAATCCGTATGCCAACTGCACCATATATATATACATATATATATATTTTATGGGAAAATCTGGGAACAATCCACTAGTTGACCGCTATAGTGTAAGCCCAACGGCCAGATTGAATTTGGGCTAATCAAATGGCCACGATTGCATTTCGTATTTGAATTTTAATTTTTTTTTACAAATCCAAATCACTTGAAACGTTGAATGTCTATTATTTAAAAATAGGAGAATCTAATAAAAATATAAAAAAAATAATTCGCAAGAATTAAATTGACCAAAATACTTTTGAAACTTTAAAGAGTATTTTGGTCAATTTATTTTTTGCGAATTATTACTTTTAATATTTTTATTAGGTGCACCTTTGTGAGAAGACTGGATGCCTAAAATTTCATGTGGTTCAGATTTGTAGAGAAAATATTAAAATGATATTACAAAATGAGGTTGCGACAGTAAGATATATATATATATATATAGGCTATGATTTCATGTATATAGCCTATGATTTCATGCAATGGTTGTATCATGGTATAATGCAACAACACTTCGAGAAAACCATGTTTGTAATACTTGTATGATCCAAAATTTTGCACGTACACTCTCTTCATCTCAATAATCAATCCCCCCCAAAAAAACGTTTCAATTTGAACCCTAGATATGATCAAAATGAGCCTCCTCCAACAACGAATCTAGACCATTCATTTGGAATTTCAAGATCTTAGCCTTTACATACTCAAAATCAATTTTATCTTTTTTAACATTTTTCATCTAATCATAATAAAGGCATCTAAAAACATTGGTAAAGAAATCTTTTTTCTAAGGCCTAGATCTAAGCATCTCACAAAAATGGATGGCCTATGTTAATTGGGCTAAAAACTGCTTTCTAGGTTGCGTTTTCAAATTTTTCTTTCTTGTGATTGTTCATTAGAATGAAAAGAGTGTATATTTCAAAATTTGGATCAAATAAATAGCCTTAACATGGTTTTTGAACGTGGTTGCATCATATTACTATACAACTGTTGCATGAAATCACTGCCCTTTATATATATATATATTAGAGAGAGAGAGAGAGAGAGAGAGAGAGAGAGAGAGAGTAGTATAGAGACGACGTACGTAACTAACTAACTAATAAGTACGACTACTAACTAAAATTAAACTAACTAAGTAAGTAAGGTTAGGTTTAGTAGTACGACCG